CACTCTTTCTTGTGTTTGTTAACCATTCATCTCTTTCCTTGGTGAAATGTCTAAGTGCTCAGGCCTTTTTTTTAAAATTAATTAATTAATTATTTTGGCCACGCAGCACGGCATGCAGAACCTTAATCCCCCAACCAGGGATTGAACCCATGCTTCCTGCAGTGGAAGCATGGAGTCTTGACTACTGGACCGCCAGGGAAGTCCCAGGCCTATTTTTAATTGGATTGCCTTGTTATTGACTGTAAGAATTCTCTATATGTTCTTGATACACATCTTCTTTAATTTCTCTCAGTAATGTTTTATGGTTTTCAGAGTAGAAATCTGGCATTTCTTTTGGATGTATGTTATCTGCCAAAAAAGACAGTTTTACTTCCTTCCTATTGGTATGCTCTTTTTTTTTTTTTTTTTTTTGTAAACTTATTGCATTGGCTAGAATCCCCAGTAGAATGTTGAATAGAAACTCACTTTGCTCCTGACTTTAAGGTAAGGCATTCAATCTCTCACCATTAAGTACATTGCTAGCAGTAGGTTTTTCATGGAAGCTTTTGATCAGATTAAGGAAACTCCCTTCTATTCCTAGTTTGTTGATTTTTTTTTTTGGCTGTACCTGGAGGCTTACAGGATCTTACTTCCCCAACCAGGGAGTGAACCCGGGCCCTGTCAGTGAAACTGCTGAGTCCTAACCACTGCACCTCCAGGGAATTCCCTGTTTAAAATTTTGATCACCAATGAATGTTGCATTTTGTCATGTGGTTTTACTGTATCTAATGATGTATTAGTTAGCTACTGTTGCACAGCAAATTACCTCAGAAATGAGCAGCTTAAAACAATAATTATTTATTATCTCATGGTTTTCATGGATCAGGAACATAGGCACAGGCAGCTTAGCAGGGTGACTCTGACGCCGCATCTCTCACAAGGCTACCATCAAGGTACTACTGGCCACAGCTGCAATCATCTCAAAGGTAACTAGGTACAGATTCCCTTCCAAGCTCATTTAGGCGGATGTTGGCAGACCTTAGACGATCTAATTCCAAGCTTACTCATTTGGTTTTTGATAGAATTCAGGTTCTTGCTGGCTGCTGGCCAGAGACCTCAGTTTCTTGCCACATGGACCTCTCCACAGAGCTACTTAAAACAGGGCAGCTTGCTTCCCTAGAGCTGGAGAAGAAAGTAGAGCAAGATAGAAGTCAAAGTCTTTTTGTAACCTAATCTCCAAAGAGATATCCAATCTCTTTTGCAGTATTCTATTGTTAGAAATGAGTCACTAGGTCCAGTCCACACTCAAGGGGAAAAGATTACACAAAGGTGCAAATATGAGGAGGTAGGGATTATTTGGGGGTCATTTTAGAGGCTGCCTATCATAGTGAGATGATCATGTGGTTTCTGTCCTTTATTCCAGAGGGCAGTAAATCTCACCAGCTGCCTATTTTTATATGGCCACAAGTCAAGAATGGTTTTGGCATTTTTTAATGGTTGAAAGAAGATACTATTTTGTGACATGTGAAAATTAAATGAAATTAAAATCTCAGCACCATGCAGTAAAGTTTTATTGGAGCACAGCCATGCTCATTTGTTTATGTATTGTCTGTGGCCACTTTGTAAAACATTGGCAATGTTTATAAAACACTGGCAGAGTTGAGTAGCTGTGACAGAGACCATATGGCCAACACAGCCTTAAATACTTCCTTAACCAGCCCCATACAGAAAAAGTTTGTTTATCTCTGCTTTATTCTACTAATTATTATGAACTATTACATTAACTGATTTTCAGATGTTATACCACACTTGTATTTCTGGGATAAATCCCAGTTGGTTAAGATCCAACCCTTTTATATGTTGCTGGATTCAGTCTGCTAAAATTTTGTTAAGTATTTCTGCATCTCTGTTCCTGAGGAATACAGTAGATTTCCTTTTATTGTGATATCTTTGTTTGGCTTTGACATCAGATATTTTTTGGTATCAGAAAAATATTGGCCGGAGAAAACAAGTTATGAAGTATTTCTTCTTTTACTTTATGAGTGAGTTTGAGTGTTGGTGTTATTTTTTCTTTAAATATTTGATGGACTCACCAGTGAAGTCATCTGGGCTTGGGCTTTTTTTGTGGGACAATTTTGAATTACTGAATTTACTTGCTATAGATCTATTCAGATTGTCTATTTTTCTGTTGAGTCAAATTTGGTAATCTGTGCCTTCCCAGGAATTTGTCCATTTCACCTAGGTTGTCTGATTTGTTAGTATGAAGTTATTTATGGTATTACCTGATAAACATTTCATCTGTCTTTTGGCTAAAGTACTTAGTTCTCTCCTTTATTCCTGCTTTTGATAATCTGAGTCTTCTCTCTTATTTTCTTAGTCTAGGTTTGTCAATTTAAAAAACTTTTTTCAATGAACCAGCTCTTGGTTTCATTGATTTTATTACTGTTTTTGTTTCCTATTTCTCTGATATCCAATCTAATCTTTATTTTTTCCTTCTTTTTGCTTTGGGCTTTGCCCTTCTTTCTATTTTCTTAAAGTTGAAGGTTGTTAATGATTTGAGCTTTCTTTCTTTCCTCTTTTGTGATATAGGAATGCAGAGTTGTATCATTACCTTGGCTGAATCACATAAATTTTGGTAGCTTTTCATTTACATTCAGTTCAAAATTATTTAGAAGCATGATGCTGAATTTCCAAATACTTGAGCTTTTCCCACATTTTGTTCTGTCATGAATCTCTAGTTTAATTCTCTAGTTCTGGTCAGAGAACATATTTTGAAAGATTTTAATCTTCTTAAATTGATTAAGACTTGTTTAGTGGCCCAATCTATGCTCTATCCTGGAGAATGTTCCAGTATGTTTGTAAAGAATGTTTATTCTGTAATCATTGGGTGGAGTGTTCTATCTGCATAGTATGCATTTTTCCATCTGTTTACTTTCAACCTATTTGCGGCTTTGAATCTAAAGCATGTCTCTTGTAGACAGCACATAGTTGCGTCTTGCTTTTTGTTTTTGGCTGCATTGGGTCTTCATTGCTGTGCGCAGGCTTTCTCTAGTTGTGGCGAGCAGGGTCTACTCTTCGTTGCGGTGCGTGTTGGGCTTCTCATTGTGGTGGCTTCTCTAGTTGTGGGCCACCAGCTCGAGGCCCACAGGCTTCAGTAGTTATGGCACATGGGCTCAGTAGCTGTGTTGTGGGCTCTAGAGTGCAGGCTCAGTAGTTGTGGCGCACAGGCTTAGTTGCTCCGTGGCATGTGGGATCTTCCCGGACCAGGGCTCGAACCCACATCCCCTGCATTGGCAGGTGGATTCTTAACCACCGCACCACCAGGCAAGCCCCGGGTGTTGCTTTTTAATCCATACTGATAATCTGTCTTTTGGGTGAAGAGTTCAGTCTGTCTACATTTAATAAAATTATTGATATGGTTGGATTTTCTCTCCCATTTTGCAATCCTTTTCTATTTGCTTCATGCTTTTTTCGAGTTTGTTTTTCTGTGTCTCCTTTACTGTTTTCTTGTTTTAAGTGTACTGTTTCAATTCCTCTGTTGACTTTTTACCTTTTTTTCCCTCTATTTTCTTATAGTCTGCTCATGGAATACCATATGTATCTTAATTTACCACAGTCTATTTCAAAACAATAACTTAGGGACTTCCCTGGTGGTCCAGTGGTAAATCTGCCTTCTAATGCAGGGGATGCAGGTTTGACCCCTGGTCGGGGAACTGAGATCCCACATGCCACGGGGCAACTAAGCCCACGTGCCACAACTACTGAGCCCATGAGCCTCAACTAGATAGTCCGTGTGCTGCAAACTACAGAGCCCACGTGCTCTGGAACCCACACTCCACAACTAGAGAGAGAAAAAAACAACCCGCACACCACAACTGGAGAGAAGTCCGCGCACCACAACTAAAGATCCTGCACACCTTAACAAAGATCCTGCATGCCACAACTAAGACC